GGAGGAAACAAGCAGGGGCAGACTGACAACTCATGGGGCCCCTGGGCAATAGGGGATCATGGGGCCGTGTCCTCAGCTACACTCAAACCACACCCAAAAAAGCCTATGAAAGGTACCAGGGGCATCTCATGGGGCCCCCTACTGACCCCGGGCCCTCGGGCAGTGCCTGAGTGCCAGAATGGTCAGTTGGCCCCTGGAAACAAGTAAACGTATGTTGCCTGAGCATTCCAGGTCCAGGAGCCCAGGGGTTTCTAGCAACCCAAGGGATGGTGAGAAACAGAGTAAAATAAGCCTGCTGCATCTAAGCATGGTGGGTCAAAGGGCAATCCGCTATATGTATAAAGCTAATCCACACAGCATACTATTTTTTACATCTTCCCATCCACACCTATCCATCAACAAGAGTAGAAAACAGAAGGGTTTTAGAGGTTGTTTCCACATATTGGAGCAAGACCAATATTCAGGCTACTGGCTATTTTATCACACCAGATGGCTACACAACCTGGTTCACACTCTTACAGTCACATCTTGAATGCTACCTTTGCATGTGTATCTGACACAGCCCTGGCCTGAACACTGATCCACATGGTGTCCACTTTAATCCTGTGCAGCACTGGTTCTACACAGGACATTCTTCTTGTTTGTGAACAAAACCCACCTATCTACAATCTGCTGCTTCCTTTGGAATATACAGTTGCAAGAAAAAGTATGTGAACCCCTTGGGATTACATGGAGTTTTGCATGAATTGGGCATAAAATGTGCTCTGAACATCATCTAAGTCACAACAATAGAAGAACACAGTCTGCTGAACATAATACTACACAAACATTAGATGTTGCCATGGTTTAATTGCACATAACATGTAAACATTCACAGTGCAGGGAGGAAAAAGTATGTGAGGCCCTAGCATAATGACTTCTCCCAGAGCTAATTGGAGCCAGGAGTAGCCAACCTTGACTCCAATCAGTGTGATGATATTTGATGTGTTGCTGACAGCTGTCCTGCCCTTAAAAAACACACACCTGTTTTGGGTTTACTGGTTTCAAGAAGCACTGTCTGATGTGAACCATGCCTCGCAGAAAAGAGCTCTCAGAAGACCTACGATCAAGAATTGTTGACTTGCATGAAGCTGGAAAGGGTTACAAAAGTATCTCCAAAAGCCTTGATGTTCATGTGTCCACGGTAAGACAGACTGTCTACAAATGGAGAAAGTTTAGCACTGTTGCTACTCTCCCTAGGCGTGGTCGTCCTGTAAAAATGACTGCAAGAGCACAGCGCAGAATGCTGCATGAGGTAAAGAAGAATCCCAGAGTGTCAGCTAAAGACCTACCAAAATCTCTGGCACATGCTAACATTTTTGTTGACACATCTACAATAAGGAAAACATTAAACAAGAATGGAGTACATGGGAGGACACCACGAGGAAGCCATTGCTGTCCAAAAAGAATATTGCAGCACGTTTGAAGTTTGCAAAAGAGCACCTGGATGTTCCACAGCACTACTGGCAAAATATACTGTGGACAGATGAAACCAAGATTGAGTTGTTTGGGAAGAACACACAACACTATGTGTGGAGAAAAAAAAGGCACAGCACACCAACATCAAAACCTCATCCCCACTGTAAAACATGGCGGAGGGAGCATCATGGTTTGGGGCGGCTGCTTTACTGCCTCAAGGCCTGGACGGATTGTTTGTCATTGATGGGAAAATGAATTCCAGAGTTTATCAAGACATTTTGCAGGAAAACGTACGACCATCTGTCCGCCAACTGAAGCTCCACAGAGGATGGGTGATGCAACAGGACAATGACCCAAAGCATACAAGTAATTAAACAAAAACAATGGCTGCAACAGCACAGAATACGCCTTCTGGAGTGGCCCAGTCAGAGTCCTGACCTCAACCCGATTGAAATGCTGTGGCATGACCTTAAGAGAGCGATTCACACCAGACATCCCAAGAATATTGCTACACTGAAACAGTTTTGTGAAGAGGAGTGGTCCAAAATGACTCCAGATCGTTGTGCAGGTCTGATCTGCAACTACAGGAAACGTTTGGTTGAGGTTATTGCTGCCAAAGGAGGGTCAACAAGTTATTAAGTCCAAAGGTTCACATACTTTTTCCTCCCTGCACTGTGAATGTTTACATGTTATGTGCAATTAAACCATGGCAACATCCTAATGTTTGTGTAGTATTATGTTCTAGGGATGTTCACCGGCAACATCTAATGTTTGTGTAGTATTATGTTCAGGGAATGGATGTTCACCGGCACCCACAGATCATTAGGCAGGGAGGAAGAACAGAGCTGTACCTATATTTACTGTACTATACTAGTATAGAAAAAAAAATTCCAGTATATGTCCCATAGTTTGTAGACACTATAAGTTTTGCGCAAACTAATTAATATACGCTTATTGGGATTTTTTTACCAAAAATATGCAGCAGAAAACACTTTGGCCTAAATCTAAATTTTTCTATTGGATATGGTTTATAGTAGAAAATTAAAAATATTGGGGGGTTTTTCAAAATTGTTGTTCTTTTTTTGTTTATAACGCAAAAAATAAAAACCGCAGAGGTGATCAAATACCGCCAAAAGGAAAGCTCTATTTGTGGGGAAAAAAAGACATAAATTTAATTTGGGTGCATGACCGCGCAATTGTCAGTTAAGGTAACGCAGCGCTGTATAGCCTGGTCAGGAAGAGGGTAAATCTTCCGGAGGGCAAATGGTTAAGTTGTTGCACAAGAGGGAATTTGGGTTCTTTTCAGAGAGTGTATGAGCGATATTACAAAAGGAGCATGGCCATTCAAATATGTCTCCAATAGAACAGTTGGAAAGGTCTGTTTGCTTTCTTAGAACAAGTAATCCTAAATATATAGGCATTTACCTGAGTGTATTAGAGTAGGACTACAGTAGTGAAACCCCACTGGAGTTGTGACCACAGAGTTGTGTCATCAAGATGCCTCCAGAATGCACCTCTTTTTTTTTAGGTTTCTAAAAAAGGTTCTTGGATAAAGAAATCTGATAATGGAAAAATTGCAATTCTAGATTATTATTGTCATTCCATATGCATTATAAAAGTCTATAATTGGACTTGGTGGAGATCATGATGCCCCTCCTCTCCACCTCATCCAATCAGAAAACACCTTGTATTCCTTGATAAAAATACAAGCAGCATGGAAGCATGAAGTTGCACAGAGTAAGACTCAGAAGATCACATTTATCCCTATAGTAATGCCAACTACTATAGTAATTTTCAGCTCCCCTAGCGGCCTATCAAGTATGACATAGGTCTCGATCATACGGGCATAAACCTGTATGAGAACAATGTTGTGTTCCATGCATCCATATGCAGCAGTCCCAGTCACGTCACTTGGGCTGCAGTGGCTTCATGGATACAGCCACTGCTCCCAATTTGACATTTGTGTGTGTGCAAGAGCATGCGAACAGCATGGGTTTGTGTACCCGCACCCACATGGATGTCAAATTGGGAGCACCAGCTGTACATTTCAATTGACATGAATGGGGCTGCCTGCTGTATGCACAGAACACCTGTACATCCCATGTAGGCAACACATGTCCCTCACACAGGTGTATGCTTAAATTGATATTAAAGGCTGACTTTTTTTTTTTTTTTTAAAACAACAAACATGTTATACCTACCTGCACTGTGTAATGGCGGCAGAGATGAGGAAGAAAGGATAGAGGAAGACGATGCTCCTTACTTCCAGTGTTCCTCTCAGACTAAGTCCTTTAAATGAAATGTAGCAGTTTCATGTTTTGTTAATTTAATATTTTTCACTGTTTTTAAAATGTTTTAATTTTTTTTTTGGGGGGAGGGGGTGCAAGTAGTTGGTCCTGCCTAGGAAAAATAGTCTAGCACTGGCCCTGGCCATATGCATATTTACATTGTGCCAAGCTGGACCAGTATAGGTACTGTATGCAATACAGATAACTCCTGGAGTTCGGCTGAGAACACTTACCTACTCTATTAAAAAATACAACTGGAGTTTGGCTATGATTAATAAAATGGCCTCTTTCCTGAGCGAAGACCGCTTACCAATGGCCATTACAAATGATATTCCGACTATTATGGCGTGCATGCAAAGTATTCTTTCCAAAACTGAATATATCATTATGCATAGTTGAGTAATAAAATGAAAAGACACTCTTATTGTTTTATAATCTTTGTGTAATGAGAGCGCTCTGTAATACACAGTACATCCATGAGTAAATTAGACCTGTACTGTACATAGTTTGGTAGAAGAATTACTGCTGCGTGAGACTACAGTGATCACATTTTGTGAAGTGATAGCTGCGCTTTTAAAATCATCTGGATGTCATCAAATTTCTTTTAATGCATGCTTGCTACTATTAAGGTGGTGAAAATTCCATGGATTGCGTAATCCTAGTTCTATGAATACACATGCAGTTCCTCAAATGAAACACTGGGTGTCCTCATTGCACCTCAAATAAAGTCTCCAACTGGTAATTCAATGTATTATTGGCCATAAATTTTCTCTTTCCCTCTTAGCAACATCTCCATGTGATATGTACACAGAACCTCAATTGGCAGAAGCCACACAGAATTCACTTTAGATGCTCTGGTTAACCATTTACTGAATAAAATTTTCTTGGAGAAGCTTTCTATATGCCAGTGGATCTGAGCTCAAAAATGGATATTTACTATGTTATAGGAACAATTAGAAATGTTAATTGTGCCTAGTACCCTGAAAAGTGTACCTTTATCCTGGGTTCACACTTCTGCGGTGTGACATATCACATGTGATTCACAAATATCGCACCGCATTTCTGTGCAAATCACATGCAAATTCTGTGCGGTGCGATTTGAGCCGTACACTTTGTATGGCTCAAATCGCACCGCATCCACACCGAAAAGGTGCAGGACCCTTTTTTTGTGTCCGCACTAGAATTGGATTGGTGTGAATACCCATGCAATTAGATTTTACACATCGCGTTTTGCGAACCAATTTCGGGGTGTCGTTAATTTAACCTCCCTGGCGGTATTCCCAAGTGTAGCTCGGGGTAAAGTTTCAGTACCACAAGAGGTAACCCCGAGTTACACTCAGGAATACCATGCAGCGCTGCTCCGGGATCTCTTCTTCACTTACCTTGTCCTGCACTCCCACGATGTCCCTCCTGCAGTGTCCCCGGCAATGTCCTCCGGCCGAAGCCAGCATCTGTCTTCTGTGTTCTGTTCCCTGCGACGTCAGGACGTACGGGGGACGGAGCTGGTGGGAAATTTGAAAATTGTAAAAGTGACATTCACTAAATACACATAGTAAAACATTACTGTATCAAAGCATTTCACATATAAATTTTGTCCCGAGTGCTTTGTCCTGTGCCCTGCTTACATTTTTACTGTTCTTTCTGCCTGGAAACTGAGAAACGTCCATGGCATCCAAAAAGCGTCCCTTCAGGTCAAAATCTGTTTTAGACCAGCTAGAGAACAGCGATAGTAAATTAGAACCACTTGCAGAATTGAGTGATAATGATTTGTGGGGGGAAATTCGTCATCAGACACTGAAAACGATTTTGCGACTTTGCTCAGTGATGTGCGAACTTGGCGCTATATTTCAAATTTTAGTGTTTTTGGTTTGATGACATTATTGAGTTAAATTTATTATATTATTTTTTAGGATTATTTATTAAATTATAATTTATGATTTCATGTTTCAAATTTTAACATACCCGGGATGTTTACTAGACTCTTGTTCGGACAGATTTCAGTGAGTTATTCCTAAAAATTACAGGTCTACAATAAAAAAAATACATATTTCCATGCAAAAAAATGTACTGCTTTGAGCACAGAAATACTGACATAATCAGATTGCTAGGGAGGTTAACATACATACCCGCAGCGGTTTGCATGAACGGGGTGCGATTATGATGTGGTGTGGAGTTCGCACAGAAACCGCTGCGAGTTCCGCACCGCATCATTGTGAACCCGGGCTTAGTCTTGAATTCCTTCCAAAAAATTGCAGCAAACACATGTTCCTAGTATGTGGTGCCTAGGCACGACCTTGCTTGTAGCCCAATAGTTGTATATTTGCTGGGTGAAGGTACAATCATCCATCATTCGAGTTGCTGGTGGTAATGTCAGCGCCCTCCATCCCAGGGACGGACTGACCATTTGGAAACTCGGGCACTGCCCGAGGGCCCGGGGTCAGTAGGGGGCCCCCATGAGATGCCCCTGGTGACTTTTTCATAGGCTTTTTTGAGTTTTGGCAAGGACACAGGGGCCCCATGATCCCCTATTGCCCGGGGGCCCCATGAGTTGTCAGTCCGCCCCTGGTCAGCACCCTCCATCCCAGGGGCGGACTGACCATTTGGAAACTCGGGCACTGCCCGAGGGCCTGAGGTCAGTAGGGGGCCCCATGAGATGCCCCTGGTATCTTTTTCATAGGCTTTTTTGAGTTTGCGCAAGGACACAGGGGCCCCATGATCCCCTATTGCCCGGGGGCCCCATGAGTTGTCAGTCCGCACCTGCTCCATCCTTAACAAAAATCAACTGAAAATTCAAAAGAGCTGGGTGAAAATTTGTTAGCTGATCAGTGGCTGCATCCAATCAGATGCAATTACTATTCATGTAGTCTGACAGCTGTGGGTGTTGTGGCCGTTGGAATACCATAGCTGGCAAGGGAAATTCTTCCATCCACGCTGATTATTGTGGAAGAGGGAATCAACTGACTTGTTCGGCCTGCAGGGGGTGAATGGGGTGAAGCTCTGCTGACTCCCATCATCCAGTCATGTGCAAGCAAAAATGCTGGTTTTCTTTATTTCCTCTGAAAATGCTTGGCTATTCTTTGCAAAGTGAAATTTCTCCACGCTTACTAAGCTCTGGGAAAATGTCCTTGAAAAGTGTAACTTCCCTTGCAGCCTATTTGCCTTCAGTAAAGTGTTGTTATCTTGCTACAGGTAGTTAGACTGGATTTCTGTTAGATAAATGGGTATATTTCTCTAGCTGCAGTGTTTTAGTGTTTTTAAAGGGATAAACATGGGGAAATATGCAAGTACTGCAGATATGGACTGCTTATGTTTTTGTTTGAGGTTGAGGTGTAGACCATAAGATCAAAGCAAAATACCAATATCAGAGAATTTGATCCATGAACCAAACAGGACAGTTTACAGATTTCAATACTGCTGGCTTCTGCTCTCTCAGTACCACTTCCCCAAATGTCCGGCCTTCACAGAAGGAAGCTAACAGTACACAGTACAGTCCTGGGCCAGTCTGTTAGTTTGGAGAAGGGGGAGGTGGGTGTGAGGGAGGAGCAGGGGAGTGCCTTGCCACGCTAGGCTATGGGACGTTGTGTTTTCGATGCACACAGTGTAAAGCAGGGGTCTCAAAACTTTCTAAATAAAGAGCCAGTTTACCATCTTTTGGAATTTAAGTGGGGGGGGGGGGGGCAGACATTGTCTATTGGGAGTAGAAAAGGTCAGTGGGAACAGTCGATGCCCCATCTTTGGAGTCAGTGGGAGGAATAGCGCCCTATCATTGGTGTCTATCATTGGTGTCAGTGGGAGGAATTGTGCCCCCTCAATGGTGTCATTGGGAGGAATTGTGACCCATCATCTGTGTGACTGCTTATGTTTTTGTTTGAGGTTCACGTGTAGACCATAAGATCAAAGCAAAATACCAATATCAGAGAATTTGATCCATGAACCAAACAGGACAGTTTACAGATTTCAATACTGCTGGCTTCTGCTCTCAGTACCACTTCCCCAAATGTCCGGCCTTCACAGAAGGAAGCTAACAGTACACAGTACAGTCCTGGGCCAGTCTGTTAGTTTGGAGAAGGGGGAGGTGGGTGTGAGGGAGGAGCAGGGGAGTGCCTTGCCACGCTAGGCTATGGGACGTTGTGTTTTCGATGCACACAGTGTAAAGCAGGGGTCTCAAAACTTTCTAAATAAAGAGCCAGTTTACCATCTTTTGGAATTTAAGTGGGGGGGGGGGGGCAGACATTGTCTATTGGGAGTAGAAAAGGTCAGTGGGAACAGTCGATGCCCCATCTTTGGAGTCAGTGGGAGGAATAGCGCCCTATCATTGGTGTCTATCATTGGTGTCAGTGGGAGGAATTGTGCCCCCTCAATGGTGTCATTGGGAGGAATTGTGACCCATCATCTGTGTGACTGCTTATGTTTTTGTTTGAGGTTCACGTGTAGACCATAAGATCAAAGCAAAACACAAATATCAGACAATTTGAACCAAACAGGACAGTTTACAGATTTCAATGCTGCTGGCTTCTGCTCTCTCAGTGCCACTTCCCCAAACGTCTGGCCTTCACAGGAAGAAGCTAACAGTACACAGTACAGAATTGTACACAGTACACAATTGGGCCAGTCTGTTAGTTTAGAGAAGGGGGAGGTGGGTGTGTGAGGGAGGAGGAGAGGAGTGCCTTGCCACGCTAGGCTATGGGACTTTGTGTTTTTGATGCACACAGTATAAAGCAGGGGTCTCAAAACTTTCTAAATAAAGAGCCAGTTTACCATCTTTTGGAATTTAAGGGGGGGCCGATATTGCCCATTGGGAGTACAAAAGGTCAGTGGGAATAGTCAATGTCCAATCTTTGTAGTCAGTGGAAGGAATAGTGCACTATCATTGATGTCAGTGGGAGGAATTGTGACCCATCATCTGTGTCATTGGGTCCCTTTTCTTGGTATCATTGGGAAGAATAGGTCACCATCGTTGGTGTCAATGGAAAAAATTGTGACCCATCATTGGTGTCATTGGGACAAATTGTGCCCCTTCATTGGTGTTAGTGGAGGGAATTATGTCCCATTGTTGGTATCAATGGATGAAATAGTGGGCAGACCCAGGCCGCAGTTGGAGACCACTGGTGTAGGGAGACACAACTCTAGTCCCTGCATGCAAGGGTGACATCATAGGATGTTGCAAAGAAGTCACCCTGGAACAGGAAACTTGGGGCATGTTCATGGTGCCAGAATAAACAGAGACAAAGGCAAGAATTATAAGATAAAGAAGCTGCATACTCAGCTGCTGACAATCCTTAAACTGAGGGTATAACATCACTCTGAGAACTATTCTTTAAATCAGGGAAAGGAACATATATTTACCTTTTAAAATAATAGATTTTTATAGGTATGTGTTAGCAGCATGACAGCAAAGCATACCGTAGGTGTATTGACTACAAACATTTTCTATGTCTATGACATTTTTATTGCAGGATCTGGTGGCATTGAAATATTTCTCAATTTAAGGCATGCTGCCACATTTACAAGATGCTGACGTTTTCATAAGTAGTTGGCTGGCCCTCAAAAATGACAGCATTGATGTGTATTGTATTCTTTTTTTTATTTTACTTGACAGCTTGTATGGGAGATTGAGGGTCTGATTTACAATGATGCTTTATTATGTTTTTCACTAAAAACTACTAATAATCTATTCTCTTTTTACTTCAGCCTGAAAGTTATAGTATATACATTACATGTGGAAAAACCTTTGACAGTGTGTTAAAACAAATAAAACATAAAGCACAGAAAGAATTTGCCATTCAACAAAAGCAGCAATGTGATTGTTAAAAACAAAATGAATAACTTAGGAGCGTAGTAGAGATTGAGAGTAAGGCTAGGTTCATATATGTAGAGAAGAGTGACAGAAGCACCACTGTAAGTGTAGACTGTTAAAATCAGATCATCTGCCTGACAAGGAGTGAGCATGCTCCGAACGCGCGCCATCTTGGAAAGCCGGACCATGTGGTGACATCATCCCTGCGAGCCTCCCTGCGGCCCTCTGCTACTCCCCGAACCCTGGACACCACCGGAGTGGTGGGAAAACACCCAGAGCTCGGGCTAAGGACCTGATGCTCCCACTGGACCTCCATCACTTGACATGCGTACCGGTTACCTATCTATGTGAGTTTAATTTTACCATTAAATCTGCCTGCTTTTAACCTCTTGGCGCCGGCTGCACGCAAATGTGTGGCCACCCGGCGTCTGTGCCTTCATGCCGAGCGGCGGAGCGCACATTTGCAGTGCAATTAGAAAAACATATGTGATGAGTGCGCGCGCCCTGCACGCTCCCAGCACACATGTCCGGTACTCACGGAAAGGTCCCGATCTCCTCTTGTACTTAGGACCTTTCCCAATCATGTGACCGCCGTGACAGTGAATCATGGCAGTCACATGACTCTAAAACCCCGCCCCCCCGGCTTCTGAAACCCTTAAAGGGCTGGAAAGCAGCGGCGCCAAGGGGTTAATCGTCTACACTCTCTTCTCTACCTGCACTAGCAGTATCTACAAGCTCTTACAGCCGGCTGCCTCCTCGGACAAGTCCATACTACTACAAGTCCCCACTA